CTAGATTTCCAGGCTTATGCACCGACGATTTGAGACCCAAGAAATCAGGAACAAGGAGTGGTCACTATTATATTAAACGGTTTATAATGTGAAGAAGTTTGGGCAACGTAGGCTGAACACATACGAAGAGGAACCCTCTGAGCCTGAGGACTGAGAAGAGGCTGAGGGGTACTCGAGAGGTTATACAAAGAAGAACAGGTTTGTTATGTCCTATTCTTGGCGCTTCCTTTTGTTCATATATCTATTTCGAAACATACTAATCTTAAGCACACAGCATGAAAGGAACAAGATCGTGGTTACCAGTAGCGGGAGAAGTGAAAGAGAAGAATACAGTCTCGAAACTGGTTGATATGAAGCGCCCAGGTCACACATACTGCATTCATTCATGCACGAAGAAAGAACTCGAAAGAGAAAGTCAAGGTGGGGGCGAAGAACATCCTGGAAGGTTGGTCAGAGATTAGTTCGAGTCGAGTTTTCAGCTGACCGAGTTTTATTCCTGCAGTCAATTTGCAATGGCGAGCAATGCTCCAGATATTAATTTCTTTGCTCGGATACTGCCGTGCTTCCCTTTACAATTTGTTAAAAGCAGTCGCTTTCTCTGTGAATATCTATACACACATACATACATACTCATACACATGTACACACATCCATGCACTACACGTAAACACATACACATATGCACATATGCACATTTACAAACACATTCATACACATACTGCATTGCCACTGACCTTTATATTTAATTTGAGCTTACCGGAAGCTAAAGTGCCTCTAGGAGAACTCGTTCACTTGTCACGTTGATTCTCAAAAGACTTCTTAAATTTGTCCGTTTATTACCACATAGCGTGTATAACCTCCGTCTGTGAAAAGTTGTTTGAGAAGGGTTTGAAAAAGACGATTTTAAATCATCTGGGTAAGTATGCCACCATTTCTGGCCGCAAGCATGACCTCAAAAAAGGCAAGCCGGCAGTGACTGCTATGCTGCACGCGCTCGACTACTGAACTTCTTACTTTGATTGAGATTCAGGGAGAATTTGATTGACCTCGATTTGCGAAAGCCTTCGACAGGGTACCCCACGGCAAGCTGATAATCAAACCCTTACTGGTAGTTATACACCCAAGATTTTAGACTGGACTGATGTTTTCCTTACCACTAGATCCTGATCAAGTTAGGTCTAGATACAAATATACACACGTGTATGTACACACATACATACATCATACATACATAATGCATACACATGCGTACATAAATACGTACATAAACATACACGCACACACACATACATACCCGCACATGCAGACACCCATAAGACACACATAGACATACATACAAATACACGATCACACTTATACACATATATATATACAGCATGCATGTACACACACTCAAGTTCATACATACACACAGAAATATACACACATACATACACACTTCCATACAAACACACACATGGACATACATTCTCACACACACGTAAACACATACATACATACAGACATGCATACACACATAAACACACACATACATACCAACACAAATGAACATACACATACACACGCATGGTCCACTTGCTGTACATAAATACTCTGAGATCCTAACTTCTCTCCCACGCCGAACACATTTTCCTCAAAGAAAAGTGTTCTAGAGCGCTTGTTGCATGAGAATAGAGCACGCAACTCACTTCTTCTCAAAGTTTTCACGTTGGGAAGCTTGCGAGGCTCCCTAATCCTGGATACAATTGTATGCGCCCGAGAAAGTTACTTCTTATCGAAGCAGCAGATACGTCCAGTCCGGTAACTATTTTTCTGCGGGCTAGGGGATGTAATCATTGCCTAACTATTGTCCTCAGAAAGGGCGTAACTGTTCCTGAGACGACTCTTTGAATTGGAAGCACCAAAGTAGGTATGTGGACTAGGGGATAATAAAAGTATTGCAGAAACTCCCTAAGTAAGAAACCAGCTTTTTTGTAGGGTTGTTATCATATCTATAGCCCACACCATATGGACTAGTAACTTGAAGTATCGGTTTATTGGCTGTTGTCTTGTCTTTCTGCACAGACGTTGGCAAAATTCCTCATGAATGCGATCAAGGCAGTGATGTAGGAGAGTCATTCCTAACTGGGATAGTAACGGTTAGAAATAAGTTCAAAAGGTAGGGATGTTACTGATAGCTACAGCATAGACAGCATACATAGAACAACCAAAAATGCCTGCCTCATCAGGGTAATTCCAATTAATTGACTACGATCAATTTCAAATTTGGGTGTGATTGAGCAAGTGGCCATTATTAAGCTCTCTCTCTGCGGTAGAATACCTACGTCATCCTATAATACCCATAATTGAGGGAGAACTCGAAGTAGAAGTGAGTGTAGAAAAACCACGAGAATACGGAAATGGACGAGTAGTATGAGAAACTCGATGGTCGAGAAGGAGTGAAGCTTCGTCTTCGGGCGGACGAAGCGCGTCACCCGGGCTTCTCAGCACATTGTAGTAGTGAAGTCCGTTAAGAATAGCGAGGGTAGGATCTTGAGGAAGCCTGGTGAAATCAGGAGTAGGATTTGACAGGCTCCCAAACGTAGAATCCGCCTGTAAGAGCAGCCCCCAATTAGATAGGACAGCTAGCTCTATCAAACTCTGAACAGAGGATGAGCTGCGTAGAGAAATAGGAAAGATTAAGGTTGGGAAGGCAACTGGTCCGGATGGGGTACCAATCGAGGCGTGGAAGACGATCGGAGAGCACGGAATGAGGAGCGCACGAGATAAAAGGAGCAGTTTTATCGTTCCCATCTTCAAGCAGAAGGGGGACGCGAAGGAGTGTTCCAACCACCGGGGAACCAAGTTGATCGCGTACCCGATGAAATCGTGCAGGGCGCTAATCGACTCGAGATTGAGGGAACTGGTTCCGATTTCACAGGAGCAGTTCGGCTTCATGCTTGAAAAATCTATAATCGATGCCATCATCACAGCTAGGCAGGTTATGGAGAAGAATCGAGAAAAGCGTAGACGCTGCTACCTAGCCTTCCCCGACCTGAGAAGGCATTACACCGTTTCTCAGGTTTTGTGGAGAGCGTACATACCTTCCAGTACACATGATCTCTCTGATCTCCTTCTCTTCTGAATTCTGAAAGCAAAGACATGTACAATGGCTCTGCACCAATATGTGCTCCACACGGCTAAATCGGAGCAATAGATGTCACTGTTGGGGTAGCCAGGGATCAGTTCTGAGCCCGTTCCTCCTTCTGCTCACGATGGACGTCATCCCAGAAGAACTCATGATTAGACCACTGAAGACCACCCTCTACGCTGATGACTTCGCTCCGATAGCGGAGAGCAAAGAAGAACACCAGGACAAGAACAACTGCAGAAATGGCAGAAAGTGCTAGCGAAAAACAAGCTCCGGCTGAACGTGAAAAAGACAGGGCTCCTCAGCTTCGAGGAGTGCACGGAGTCAATCGCAGACGGTCTTGGGGAAGCCATCGAATAGGTTCAGCACTTCCGATACCTAAGGAGTGATCTAGCCACTGATGGTACCGTGGATCAGGCCGTAAAAACCGAGTTCACTGATATCCTCTGCGACCGTCGATGCTCGAAGAAGCCCAGAGGAAAGGTGCATCGGACAGTGGTAAAGCCCACGATGACGATGGATTCTTGAAGGACAGCTCCACTCCGCTGAAATGAGAATGCTCGCATGGGCTTGCGGTTGGATCGGAAAGTAATGAAGACCTCAGGGTGGCTATACAAACAGCTCCTGTAGACTGAAGATGAGTGAGTAGCTTCTGCGAACAGTTCGAACGGTTCGGACATGTACTCAAAAAACCACAGACCCACCCGATAAGGGAGGCAATGGGGCTCAAGGTTCAAGGTAAGCGACCACGAGGAACCCTAAAGACGATGGCGGTACAAGATCAGGTAAGACCTCCCTGAAGCTAAGGTAACGGCAGTGGATGCCGCGGATAGAAAAAGCGGAGACGGCTGACGAGATCAGCGGACCTTGCGACGGCGCGAGATTAACGCTAGAGAGAAGAGGAAGAGAGGAACTGCACTTATTCCTGCCATTAGTAATCTCAGCATACGCTCAATGTGATCGTGATTGACAGATGACTTCCCGCATTTGAGGTTGAACACAGCCAGAACATAGGCATAGCATACAGATGATCAACAGGTCTCGTGATTGCTCGCTTGCCATGCTACGAAAGAAATCCTGCCAACATGTGGTAGCATTGCTAGATTGTCAAGCACCTCTCGCAAATTTGCAGCCCAGTGCGTCATTTTTGCAACCAATCTGTAATTTTGTAACGATATTAGGAATGAATTGACATATCACCCTGAAGACGTTACTGTTCGCATAAAAGCTCTCACTGAACATTAGGGTGTTATATCACCTAATTCTAAGAAAATTTCGAAATAACGGAGTAGAGAATGCGAGGTGGAGCTTCTACAGTCTACAATAGTTCTTATCCGTAATAGTGTGAAAATCTACGACTAACTCAGGTTGACCGCAGAACTTAATAAACAAGCTTTCCGTAATTGACTAATCACACCCGAAAGCCGGATTTTATGAAGATACATGTAGCTCAGTACCTCATTGCACCTTGGAATGAAGTTGTTCTTACTTCTATTCGAAGGAACTCACTGTCTGCTTCCATAGTCCGCCGGTAAGCCCGAGAGCGCGCGAGCGCAGCGGCCGGGGGCTGCACTTGGCACTCGTACAACTGAATCTTGATCGATACCGCAGACTGAGTAGTCTCCCTGCCGGCGGAATATGAAAGCAGTCACTCGTGGATGGCGAACTCCTATTCAGTTGAGCGCTGTTAAGAATATTGCATATAGTGGTATATGCCTAATTGATGCTTGTTGATCCTCGCATAAAGTGACATCATTTTATTCGTTCAATAAACAAAGCCTAACGGAATGAACACGAGAAAATTTACCAGTCGATACCATTATTTCTGTCGAATAAAGCTATACATATACATTCTAACGGGCGAAACACCTCAAGCTCTCGAATTCAGATCAGGCATAGTAACGACCGCCGGAGCCATGAGACGAGATTGCCGACTTTCAAGATCATGCCTAAGTTCCTGAAAATGTAGCAAATAGATTTTTGGTAAGCAGACATTGAAAAGGCTAAATGAATGAGCAAATATATTTACAAATAATATAATTAAACAAATCATATGCAAAGTGGGTGCTTCGATCTGATCGTAAGCAGCGATGTTACACAAAAATCTAGGGGGACCGTTGCGGAATAGACTCTGCTGCGATTGTAGTTTTTGTAGCAACAGCCCTTTTCGCAACTAATTTTCTTTTAATTTTAAGTATAGTATGGAGTTTCAACCGAAACCTTCAATGCCAAAATCAGTGTCATCTCCGCATGAACTTTAAGCGTCAAGAATCCGAGCTTCAATAATAATACTAAAAATAACAATCAATTTAAGTATATAACGAAAATATATATCTCAATAAAATTATCGATAATAGTTCATCTGATTGTAAGACTGTCAGAAAGGTCAGCAGCAAAAAAATGTAAATAGGTCTCCCCACAGGCGAGTGATCGGAGGGGCGAAGAAGGCGCGAGGAAACAGATTTGTACCTAAGTTCCAGTTCCTAACATAGTAAAAACCCCACAAGGAAGAAACCGTGGCTGCTGCAGGAGAGCTACCACAACCATAGGAAAGTCCCGGATTCATAAAAAAATGTTCTTTGCTGCCGGAGGAAATACTCGGGCATGCTTAGCCTTGAACTGCTCCAGCATCTACGTTAACCAACTCCAGAAATGGCTGATACACTGCATCAAAGTCATCCGAAAACCAGCCAAATTGTCTTGCATTACGATAATGTCATTTTCTTGTCATTTTTGTACCTAGCGCCTCCAGCTACAACATACTCATGGCTCCGAAACATCAAATGAAAGAGCTTTGAAGACCCGAGACTTTCCGATTCGCGGTCAACGGCACTACGGGCTAGAGTATTAGCCGCTGCCGAAACACTGGGCGAATGTAACAGAAAGCAAAGGGAGTTTTATCGCTTATGACTTTTATATATTGTTAAGTAATAACATTTCCACACAATAGCATAAGGTGTTGCAGACTTGGACACCAACCTAATATTACTGTTAACGTATAAGAAATGAGAGGAACTCTTCTCTCCTATCAACTGAATTGGTTCTGCTCATGCAAACCTGAATATTCAAATACATACCACCCTTTCACCACTTATTCGATCTTCGGCTACATGAAGAAACAAATGCGACTATGGCTGCTTTCATAGTCGGCGTTTTGGCCTCCGAGCACGCGATCGGGGGAGGCGCTTGCCTCTTGTTTACAACTGAATCTTGGAACCGGATGGAACAACTTGATAATAAAACATTAGGATGGTATACAGACCACTCACAACATTATGGAGAAGTATAATGATTATTGGGACGACATCAAAAGTATAACTACCACAGTTGCAGAACTAGGCTTCAAAGAAACACTTCAAGGCGAATCTATGAAAAAAAAAACAAACCAAACACATACTAACCGCACTTGAATCAGCTACATATCACTGTTCACTTTGAAGGAACATATAACATATCATCGCATTCGGTTGATACATCTCGGATCAACAGAACCATTAATTTCACCCCGTCAAGCATAGGTCTTATTGTTAGAAAGTCCAGTTGAATTTTATCGATGCTTTCGATTCTAGATCTTTCACCTTTCCAGGACGCACAAATTTCCCGTATTTCAGTCACACTTCATCGCTTTCGCTCATTCAGAATCATCACTATCAAAAGAAACTTTAGCAATTCAAAAAACAGTCCGAAAGGACAAGCACATAAATGTATAAATGGTCCCGAAACCAGCGACAAGACAACGAAATCGACAGTGTACTCTCACATTTAACCTGCACATCACGCCTACCATTTGACACATTACGTGGTAGCGGGTGCGCCTCGTTGCGCGCGTCCGTCGAAACTAGGTCACGCCGCAGCCTTCGCATGCGACGGGTCAGCCCGCGGTACTTGACAGACGTCGCAGTCGTCAGTAGGGCATACAGATTGCGCTTAATCCATGGCAATTAGCCAATGAGAAGATAACACGGACAAATGCAAATCATGCGCTCCACTCACACTTGGTGGTACAGTTATGTCACCTCGAGACCTAAGTGGAGTGCGCCGCGCGCGAAGTGGGGGGGGGGGGGGGGGGGGGGGNGTGTGACCTACTTTCGACGGACGCACGCAACGGACGTTCGTCCCTGGTAGCAACTTTTGGCTCTCCCAGAATGTGATTGCAGGGAAACAAGTTCAAGACCTCCACTTCGAATGCTCCGTGTTCTTTTGCAGACCGCTACACCGCGTCCAATCCACCGGAGTATAGTTTGGAAGCTATTTTTTAAAACAAACTACCCTAATCCGTTGGGGCCAAATCTAACAGAATCAGGGATCAACGAAATTCACACCCACCGACACATCTATCTGATGTCGTCGAGAGACCTTTTCCTAAATCGTTAGTCATCTTCTACTACGCGAATGAGTGACAAACTACAAAATTTCTTTCGCGACTATAGGAATCAGAGCTATATCGATAAGTGTCCATAGCATATGTCGGGAAACGTAAAACTCTTTATCGGAGACTACCGAGACTTGCATCAATCAACGACTTGATTACTAAATTACTCTCCAAGTACCTTGTGGGGCGACTGGACGTGTACGGAGATCCGATACCGCCATTATCCCGCAACGGAATCCACTGGCTAATATCGAATATGCCATTGCAAATCATGGCCTACCACAATCTTCTTGTAATGGCCTCTTACAATCCATGAAAGCGTGATGATACTTAGTGCTTCAACAGAAAAACCACGACTCCATACTTCAGCCAGTCATGTCACACATATGGAACCAAGGGCAAACCGCATTTACCGCAACAGCTTTGCGGGATTTCTTGATCCTTTCGGGCGACTCCGGCTTCAACAAAAAAAAAGATCGCGGTTACTTCAGGACAGTCAACTGAACACATCCACACATCAAAAGACTATTGCTGTGTGATGAAGGAAAACGAGGAAGATGGAAGACGTTAAGCAATTCCACAAACGCCCCGGAATGCGGCGCATATCGCAAGTTTCCAAGAGAAAATATGGCTGTTCGCTCTACCAACTTACCAAGACACTTCCAATATCGACCTCGATATCACTATCCTTAATAAGGTCAACAGTCTTAGGCGAGAAATTCCACAGGAGCGATCCTTTTGATACAATCAAGGAACAGCATGAAAATGCTTCCTTTACACTAAACAGAACGAATATTACTTAATACTCTTGCTACGTGTAACTCGGTCGAGGATTCAACATAGCTCCGGAGGTAGGCAAAAAGGAACGCGCCGCGTAGAGAGCATTCAAAAATATTATGGGCGTAGTAAGGAAAAAAGAACATTCGGCTCCGCGCTCACCTTCTCGACACTGCTGTCCTTGCTGCTTTGACATACGTCTCGGTGACTTCGACTCTACGAAAGCAGGACAAAAATGCAGCCAGCGTCTTTCAATAAACTTTGATAAGGTCGATGCTAGGAATTTCCCCATAGAAAACCGGAGTACCGATCTTCGTCAACGAACGAGTACAGGGATGCCATAGCTTACGCCAAGAAATTGAAGATCAAGCGGACCGGACACCTTATCGTGATGCCAGTTGGACCAAGGCGGTTACTGACTGGATCCCGCGGGAAGTCAAAAGATTACCAGGACAACCGCCAACGGGATGGACAGGCTTCGTCACGAAAGCTCTCAACGAGAGGAAAGGAATGCAGTGCCTTGTGTCCCTCGAGCAATGACGATTCACAGAACCACAATAGCTAGCGACAGGGATCAATGGAGACGTTACTGGCGCCTTATCGAGGGTGTCGATGTCCAACTGGACGACAGGTGATACAAGTGGGATATAATAAATAATTGGAAATATTTTCTCCTCTTAACATTTCTTGTAATCAAAAGACAAGACGAATAGTTCATAATAGTTCATTCTTTCACTCTTTTGGCACAAACCCTTTTGAGGGTTAGAGTGCGATCCTGTCGATTGTACAAAATCGGAAAAAGCCCCAGCCGCAACTCTTATCAAATTCCCTAGGAAGACCTTTAGGAGAACTATAACCCATTCTTTCGAATGCCCAGAAAACAGCTCTAAGACATAAACTAGACTGTTAAAATACGTGGCCCCTTCCGTCACACAATTACAACGAAGACGATCGCACTATACCTATCTGCGAAAATGTGATAGTATATTATGGAAACACAATGTCACAATGTTCCTGGGCCGGAAATACAACATTTTTCAAAATTTTCTCGGAGAGAACAGTGTCAACCCCAACAAAAACATTCCTTAGCTGTATCACCGCTACAAGAAAGAAAATAAAAACATAGGCATAACAAAATAGCAAACAAAAAAAACCATAAAAGGAATTGTGTGAAAGAAAGAGTGGAAGTGGCTTTAAAGTGAGACTCACTCGTAAACTTTGAATTTTCGCATTACATATACAAACTTCATTCTCCTGAACAGCTACCAACGCAGCGGCTGTTTTCATTTTGATGAGCTGTAAAAATTGAAGCAGTGAAAAGAAAATGTTACTGAATAAAGAGAAGTTGCAAGCAACAGAAAGGCTCACTTCAGCCACCAGTTTGTTTTCCAATGTCAGCGACTGCGCTACGAGATCTCGCTGAAAATGGTTCAATTGATTAAGCAGCTACCATAGCACTGAATCAAGGGCAAAATTTCGAAGCGCTTACCATTTCTGGATCGATATCTAAATTCAGCTCAATCTCTTTTTGGCGTGCAAGTTCCGCATTGTAGAATGTTCGCCATGACGTAACAGCGTCTTCTTCTTTTGACTGAAAAAGTTCATTCTCGAAACTTTGTGTAATAAAACTATTATGAAGTGGTGAAAGATCGAATCAGAGTAGAAACAAAAGAAGTTCCTTGACTTGATTCTGACACCAAAATAATTGGAATCAATTCAAATGAATACATTTTTGAATTAAATTAAACTGAATTAATTAAAATAGTCTATCAAAACAAAGAAACCGCCTCGGGGAAAAAAAGAAGGAAAAACCACGCGCCTTTTTCACAGGTGGCTTCTTCTCCTCTACTTCTGTCGTTGCCGATGGTACCATCTCATCACCAGCATCACTGCTTGCACGCTCCCTCTTTAACGGACCGGCGCGATTAGAGGTATCAGTTGTGGGACGATTTCGATTAGGAGTTCCTCGATCGTTGACCTCATCTGCTGCTTTTTCGCGAGGTTCTTTCTTCACTACTGGCACCTTCAAAGTTCTATTCACCCAAAAACGGGAAATAGAAAGAGCAAAAACGTAACCAACCGATTCCACGTTTGCTTGTGATACTGATGCCTGTTGAGAGGTTGATGGCGGAACAGAGCCGTGTCGTGACGGCTGTTGTGACGACGGTGGCGTTGCTCTAGGTGAATTATCCATATGCGAACGGTCTCTTGATAGTGGTTGATGAGAAGAGGGTTGGGAATGATACTGTTGATGGGATGGTTGTGGAGTTTGTGGAGATCGTTGAACACGATTCAGATGAGGCGCGTGATGCGAAGCAGAAGTTGACGGAGGAGGGATTGCAGCAAACGCAGGTGGAGGGGCCGGAATTGGTGGGTTGAGTGGATGAAGAAGAGGCGGTGCACCTAAACTCTTTATATAAACGCTTGATGTGATCTTGCGCGCGATGATAGCAACGCCGAGAGAGCTAGTCGGGAAGATCTACGCCTAATCTTAGTATGCCATAGTGGCTAATAATAAAGAAGTAATTTGCCTTATGGTTAGACATAAGAAAGAACGAAAAACAGTGACAAATAAACACAGAATATGCATGAACTTCGTTTTAAAAATAATCATGCCGCGAAAGTTGAGAAAAAAGAACAATGAATAAAAGCCTGATTTGATGTTTTTACTCAATAAACTGATATCCTAAATAACCCATAAAAACGCAGTAAAAAAATCTAGAATAACAGCTAAACACCGAAGTTCTGAAGAGCTCTCCATTAGATAGTTCACAATCGTTTCGTTTGCCAAAACGATAACTTGAATAATTCTAAAAAGTCGATGAAAAAGCCTACCTGTACCAGGGGGTGGAGCAGTGTACTGAATTGGCGAGAAGTGTGCACTTACATGTGGTGTCGGAGGAATTGAGCTAAAGGAAGACATCAGAGAAGTAAGCATTTAAGGAAAGGATCGTTCATTGGATCTGGAAACTAGAGAAAGCAAAGCTTACTCACGTCACATTTACTATTGGTGGTATGAGTGGTGGCGGGAGACTCTGCGTCACACGAGGAGACGGCGCCGCTGGTGGATGTGGTGGTGGTGGAAAACTGTGCATTGCAATTTTTGTCCGTAGCCATAAATGATCTTTAAAAAATACAAATTGAAAAACTTACGAAGTATTGATCGAGGCACTAATTGTAGTACTGATTCGTGGTGGAATCGGATATGGAATATTTGGAGGTGGTTGAAATTGGTTGTATGGTGGAAAGGGTGGGGGAGGCGCTGAAAGCTCGAGGTAATTAAGTCTTCAAAAAAAAAAAACACGATAATCTCAAGTACTTCCATAAACTAGAAAAGAAGTATATAGAACATTACCACTCATTGGTCCAACAGGAAACCCGGGAGGAGCAAAAGGAGGCGGAAAAGCGAAAGGAGGAGGTGTCATGAACATCGGCGGAGGTGGAACCACAGGGTGGTGTTGTTGTATCTGAACATAAAAGACATTAGTTTTCACTTTGAAAAGGATGCCACACCAAGCCGAAATGGAAAAAAAATTACAAAATAGGAATGAGAAGCAGAAATAATAAAATTTTCGAAGAACACCAATCTCGAAACACTGGGTAAAATAAATAACAGCCTGAATAACAAATTCCAGGCAACCGAACGAACTATGAGTTTATCCTCCCCGTCACGCTTCATTAATTAAGTCATGGTAACTTTCAGCACAGATAACCAACGGCACGACTAGTTGCGTTACGCACAGTAAGGATGGATCATAAGTCCACGACCGACTCGCCTCGATTCTGCTCTAGGGTTACGCTTTTACGCTCCTTACTTCTCAACGTACTCTACCAGTCACTACCTCATCGTTCGTAAGGTCTCATTTCCAGTGACCACGCATCTGGAGTGTAATCCATCAGAGCAAATTGTTCCTTGAAGCACGCAGCTATTAAGGACATTCACACTCAAAATCTCACTCAGATTTATTTAGAGAATTGCGCATGACAGAGTGACAAGGTAAAGTTTAGTCAGCTAGATATTTGGTTGATGCCTACCGATGCCACCACCCGAATTTTTCCTGGAGGACTGACTTTTCAGTGGCTGAAGATAGGCAAGCTACCCAGTTGTTGGCAATACGACATCGAATGATATTCATTTATCATCGGCATTCGTACCGATGTTGGCGCTTTTCCACCCTACCGCTTCTATTACCTGGAAGTTTATCACGCAGAAATTGAAGAGAATCAAAGAAATCAAATTAGGTTCGTCGTACGGTTGAAAGGAGGGAAGTTATGAATTCTAATCAAGGGGATCATAAATATAATAGGTCCGTATTAATCTGAGATCGAAGTAAACAATAATAGTAGGCTACATATTTCATATCACTTTCCTCACCACGCCCACTGCACATTTTTCATTGCTTTTTTTGACATTTTGCGAACCGATAGACAAACACCAGCAAAGTTAGTGAGCAATAAGTACTTACAGAAGTATAGAGGTTATCTGTCATTTTTTCGCTGTCCAGCACTACTGATGATTGACTAAGCACTGTTCCGCATAGCGTAGCAATATGCTTTACTTTTACTTACCCAGCTTACCGCTATTCACACATCCCACTCGACACAGATTAGTTTCTAGTCGGTCGTATTAAAGGGTCACTATAAATGCTATCGCGAGAGTCCTCTCATAAAGGCGCAATTCTATACAAAATGGGCTGCGCTGAAACTTTGTTAAGATTCAGAGTTAGACTATTTATTAAGAGTTAGACTTACTTGCTGCTGTATCCTTTCTTGTTCGGCAGACAGACGCTCCTGCTCTGCAAGTCGGAGCTCGTATTCACGCCACTCCTTAGGTTTCTCCCATTGGGAGACCTAAATTGAACCAAATTAGACTTCAAATTAAAACTAAACTATTGCAAGGAAGGAACCCTAAAGCAGCAAACAGGAACTCGCTCACACTTTATAAGAAAAGTGCTCATCTCCGAAACTCAATGAAAAGCTCAACATTGAAATCTCACCATCCAGATGCTATTGTATGGCGCAACAATACAAAATCAAAGGGGAAATATTTTGCATGATATCTTTTGTAAAGGAAAGATACCAGGTTGCAGCAGCCACCCAAGGTGAGATTTAAACCGAATCAAGCAGACTTCAACGTAATTAAAAGAAAAGGACCATCCTGTTCAGAAACTATTCGGTTCGGGTTTTATTTTTCTGGTAGTCTGAATGAACTTCCGAATGAAACTACTCTAGCGAAACAGTGTCCCTCTGGAGTAGTTTCGTTCTTGCTCTCCCACTTCACTACGTAGTTGTGAGTGGATTGTCCATGTATTCCTCTACCGACAAAATCTGCTGGCGTTGGGGAGTTCTACTCCGATGAGTCATATTGATGAGAAGCGACCGAGCTCTCCGTTCCTGCTCTAGTAGAAAAGTAACCGTTTTTACCGAATGTTTTATAAAGTTTGGAAAAATGAGCAATTTACGAGAAAGAATTCGACGGACTATAAATTATCGGAAAGAATTTGCCATATTACAACCGATGTTCTACGCTCGTGATGACTAAAAGAAAATAGTTATTTAGATATAAAATAATGACCTTCTCTTGATCTTTTAGTAATCTTTGATTTCGAATTTGAGTAAGCTTTGGTTTAAACACTTTCAGAAGCATCGCGAACAGGAATGTGTTGTTTTTCTCCAACACCAAGATAGACTATCACCAAGCGAAAAGAAGTTTCCCATTTCTTTTATTGTAAAAAACTCCATTTTCTGGAAGAAAAAAAATCAAAAACTGCATTCACACTGTCACGTACATTTTTTCTTTCATAAACAGTGAGTATACGAGGATCTTCATTTCTCCGCTTTCGGGGAATACGTACGTCATTGCGCTGATCAGAGATAGAGAATAACCTGGCTAGTATTCCCAACAGAACGATGAATGGATGGACCACCATAATAAAACAAATGAAACTGATTGTGGCTTTGTCTCATCAAAAAAAAAAATTCCAAAAACTACAACCAGGGTTCAAAATTATTAAATTAAACAGCTGCTTTGAAAAAATCGCTCGCGCTTCTAACGGTTCGAGCAGCAGTTTTAGCTCAAATAACAACATCTCAACATCCTAGAAAAATGAAGCAAGATATGGGAATAAAAGAAGTCACCTCAGTATCACGATTGTAGAAATATTTTCGACCTGAAGAGCTAGTTTGCTCAGACCATGAACCAAACTCTTTGATCTCTTTCTAGAAATATCAACATGAAGTACGACCGAATTATTTAGAATCAAGATTTCTACTCACCACCATCACTCCCTCTGGTAAATTGACTGTGATGAATCGACGTAGGACAATTCAATTAGTCCTCGTGCAGTCGCAGTGTAATCAAATGTAAAGAATAATTAAAATGATTTCAACAGTCCAGAAATATTGAGCATAATTCGGATTTTTGGCGAAGTCTCTAAGTTAAAGGCGAAGCTGGGGACTACACTGTGCTCTGCGTCACTAATGTTGAAGGCTAGAGCGCAGAGAAGGCAGGGTTGCCGGCAGTGAGAGTCCAAAATGTACATGCCCGTCCGTGGCAATTTGCCAATTTTTGCAGAGATTCGTTGTGGGACCTCTGTTGGCACGGTGCACGGCCGTGGCCCCGCTTCAACTCCGGTCCGCACATTTTTGGCTTGCGAATGAAAGCTTGGTTAGGATGGGATTACGAAAGAAGTTGGGGGAGCTGATTTCATTCAAAACTAAAAACAAAAATCGGATGCGATCGCTCAGCTTTGCCATGTTGCCCATTCTTCGTAACCACGACCAGGGTTAATATTGCATCAAATTTGTCATTGGAAGTAAACTTGTTGGCGGAAGGGCTATCTTGTAAATAGCCCGAGTGATGAAATTGATTCTGGTGAAACAACGGTTGGCCCTAATCGTCCTAGAAAGACCTTGCTACTTTTCCAATCGTTGAGATTTGGTAGCTGGTTAGGGTAGCAGATAATGTCACCTAATTAATTGATTTTTTTTTCTTGCCGGAGCGTCTTGAACTGCTTTTGTTTGTAATGGAATGGGCTTGGTAATGACTGTAGATGGTTACCGTCATTTCAGATGTCGTGAAAAAAATTCCCAATTCGAAACCACCTGCGCTTTGGGCATCGACAATGATAGATAAGGGCTAAGGAGTTCAATGTCTAAATTGCGAAGTTCTCCAGCAAGTTTCCATCCAGCACCCTGAACTTTCGCCAATGGCGCAGAAGGATTTTCAGAAGTGTGGAGCTTCAAAGAACCCTGCTTCGGTTCCGCCTAGCGCATACATAAGTGTTACAATAGAACACAATGACAATCTAGTTATGTTGAAACACAACAAAGATAATCCTTTTAATGATCAAGCAATGGCAGTCATCTGCTGTTTTTTCTTGATAACTACCGAGGATACCTTCCATTAAGTCACATACACATGCAAAATACGTGATACGCTCTTAACCAGGGATCCCTCATAAGCCGCAGCCTATCAACGATGAGACTCACCTTGTTCTATTGTTTAAAACTTGTTACATCTACATGCCTCCAAGGGAAGGAGGGCATATAAATGACTATTAGAAAAACCATGCTCCAAGAAAGCATCTAACTAAAAATAGTAAGAAGGCAATTAGCAAGGGCCTGAAGATCTGCCGTTTGAGAGCCCCCACGACCTCCTTGCTCTTGGAAGATGTTTCATTGACATGCTTTAAACTCCTTTAGTCAGTGCAATTAGCGGCACCCATTACTTCCTCATCACTTAATTTGAATCAAACCTTCTCGTCGCAATCCGATTGTACATTTTGTTGCGTTCCCCGAAAACCAAAGTGTGGGATTTCTTGCTAGAGTCTAAGGGGCGGAAGGCCAAGCGGCAGAAAGTAAGGCTGACATTCTGACCCAAAAGGTTGGTATCTCCTTCACAATAATAGAATCCTACTTAGAAGCATCATGTTGCTAAGTAGGATTCCATACAGAAACGAAAATTCAGTTCGGCCCTTGGCTCTTACAGTAAACTCCTAGCTCAACACACCACCCACCCCCGTGTCCTTGCCCAAAGCCCCTTCTCGACGCGTCGTATATGTGACGGATAAAAATTATTTGCGTATTAACACGTGCCGGATTACTGTAAGAGCCTAAGAGCCGAGTGCCGGACTGAATTTTCGTTTCTGTGGATTCTATCATTGTGAGGGGAGGATAACGGTAATAACGAAGGAAAGCGTTAAGAAAAGAGCAGGACAAACCTTATAGAAAAAGTGATATTAGAAGAATGGAACAATTGTGTACACGCAAAAAGAGCAGTAGAGAAAAAAAAAGAGATTAGCAAATAAGATAAGTAAAAGAAGAATCCTTACATTGTAAGAGTGTGGAGATGGAAGAGAGACTGTAGTCTGAAGGGCACGAGTTCGTGAGGAAGCTTGCTGTAAGAGAAGGAAGGGTCTGAGAAATGAGATCTTATCAGCTGAGTAGGGTTCTAGTTGGTGGTGGTGGTGTAGGTCAAAGGGAGATGCCTTTCCTTTCATTGTGCAATATTACTTAACACTCGCGTATTGGAATATTAGTTCACTGTATCCATGACTCAACACGCTTATTTAAAGGCACAGTTCACGATAATTTTGAGGTACCCGTTTCTATTCAAAAAGCGGAAGTACAGGTTGGTAATAGTACATCGGGAGTGAAGAAAGCGAGAGAATTCGCCGATTTCGAAGAATATACGGCACCTCAAAAGTAGGGAAAATAGAGGATGGACGAGATTGCCATGAAGGAAATAACACGAAAGGGGTAATAGGACGAGATTTCAGTTATTGCGATTGCACAAAGAGCTGAATAAATTAAGCCAGAACTGTACAAAACTGTCTTTTACTGTCGCTATGGATCATGACAAGTTGCTTGAACTTCCTACATGGGTTTCCTTGTGATTGGTGCAACCTCTACAATGCTGGGTGAAACTCGTCCGAGGATACATACGGGCCAATCTTTGAGCATTTATAACTCTCTGACTAAGCCCTTTCCCTACCTAATAGTGCCAGATATGGTGTACGGGGAGCCTCAAATTCATTCTCTGGGGGAATCTCAGAAACCATTGTTATCGTGAACTGTGTCTTTAAGGCTCGCCGTCAGCTTCTCGAGGAATAAGTATTGGTGAGGGTAGCCCCCTCACCAATCCTTACTATATATAAACGGCAAACGTCCGTTTGTCTGTTTTTCTGTCTGTNGTACGGGGAGCCTCAAATTCATTCTCTGGGGGAATCTCAGAAACCATTGTTATCGTGAACTGTGTCTTTAAGGCTCGCCGTCAGCTTCTCGAGGAATAAGTATTGGTGAGGGTAGCCCCCTCACCAATCCTTACTATATATAAACGGCAAACGTCCGTTTGTCTGTTTTTCTGTCTGTTTGTCCTTCCGAAAGTCACGTAGGCACATCACGTGAGCGCGTTGAGGAAACAGTTATGAAATGGGAAGTCAACCGACACTATTGTTGGTACTCTAATAAATCGTAGGTAAGCGATAGTGAGTATAAGGTGCACGCGTTAGCATGCGTGCGTGAGCAACTGGTATTCTGAAAAGACGACCATAGTCTCCTGTAAAAAACGACCATAGTAGCTTGAGGCATTTATCCACAATGGAATTACCAAACTAACAGTCGAACATGACATCATAACAGCGAATAACGGCGAATACAACATGGACGACGATGGGCGGAAGTCGCTGGACGGGAACGGTGTGGGGTCGTAGCAGGACGAGGCAGCCGATCGTATCCCCGAATACCGTTCCTCGATGCCCTTCTCCTCTCACTTGTCGCCGCCTGTAATCAGCAGAAACACCGGAGCCAAGAGAGCTGCAATGAATGAGACACCATCGATCTCTCTCTTACTACTTAGGTTACTTATATCCTTTACAGGCATACAGTCATCAGCGCCACCGACCTACGATCAAGCTCGGCGTCCATTGTCGTTGCACCTCTCTTTTCCCTCTAGGCCTATCGTCTTCGTAGATCGAGTGCCTTACCTGCACACTCGCTGACCTTCAAAATTCAATATGGGAGGACAGATCTCTATATTTTCTGCGCATAACTGATAAACGTTATATTCACATGTGTCGTGACGAGGTGCCTTCTGCAATTCTGTCGTAACGAGGTGCCTTCTGCAATCCTGTCGTGACGAGGTGCCTTCTGCTGTTGCATCGGCGTTCCCTTACCCCAGTCACGGCAGAACGTGGGTATTTGGGTGCCCATACTCCCCTAGGGGGACATGCCGTGCCGAGAAATGCTGGAAGCCTGCTGCGGGCTGGAAAAGGCCTAGTCCCCTGACGCCGAACCAAACTCCCAACTACAAAGTGTCCAAAGTGCTCTCTGGGTTAATCCCGTGTGACTACACAAAAATGATAATACGCTACCTTCATGTCATATGGGTACAACATGACGAAACTTCAAGTGATAGGCAGTTGGTAAATGAGATATTATGATGCAATAACATTACGCCGAAAATATGCATGAAAAAACAAACTACGCCATGACTAACCTGGATATGGGACGAGAGGTGAGGGAAGAAGGGATTAGCTGAAGTGCGATGATCGGGAAGAGCCCATGAGACGGAGAGAAGGGAGCACGCGACTATCCACCAGCCAGGACCGACGAATACACACAGACGACGAAATGGAGTCGATACGTAGCGAGATGATATGCTTATAACTAGTTTTCCTTCTGGAATTTCCTGCCTTTCGCGGTAGACCGACTACGAGTGGATCTGGGGCGCGGTTTCCTTCCGACGCAGTTGTAAACCGGAGTGGAGGTCGTGCGAGAGGCACGACACTCCAGGAGCCGAAATACACCCACCCTGTGATGACCAAAAATGGCAAAAGAAAGCGAGACCCAGAGCCTGCCGATCATCGTGAGAGTTCAAAAATATAGAAAAAACATGACCAATCAAGATTAAGTGAAGCTTCAGTATGCATCGAATAAACAAATACTGAGGTCGTAAGGGCACATCAGAAAACCGTAATGATAAGGCAAGGAATGGAATACAAATGAGAATAGTTTACGCAAATGGTTAAATAGAAAGGATATAAGAAAAACAAAAAAGAAGATGATTCCAACTAACTGTACGTTGATGCTGGCGTCGACCATGTCATCGACCTGAACCACGATGTCGATTGCCCGCTTGCTACGTTGACCATCACGAACGTCCAGTAGTTGAAACACTGGTGACGTCTTCATACGGTTGTTCAATGGCGATGATGGTAATAGTTCTCGTAGATAACGTATCTGGCTATGAAGAGTTTTGTTACGCCCGGTCCAATGTCACGAATAATGAAATAGCTGGGAGGGCATAGTGCCGGATAATGCTCAGTAGAATCACAGACGCGGCAGGCAATAGTACGCTTACAGTAGCCTGGCGAATGGGCCTTCAGACAAAACAGACATTTGTCAACAGATACAGCTCTAATGGCGTGATCCGTGAGACTCTTGATTTCAGTGCAACCTGCGCTGTAGTGGTTTCCCTGACAGAAGTGACAGACAAGGTCGGGTGAAGGCTGCTGCTGCTCTCTCGGCGGTGAAGGTCTTCGTAGACGAGAGAGAGACATTCTCTTCTCCTGATGAGGTGGGGTATTTGAGCGACGAGTTGTATAACGAATGTAGACGAACGAATATGCGAGCCTGAAGTAGACTTTTGTGTAGATTTCCTGACGGCCTGCGCAGTTGTCGTTTCAGGAGATTGTAACGGAGTAGGCGGAACTGGAACGGGAACACCGGTTACGACGTGTATCTCCTCAATAGTAGGAATATCGCTGAGGTCAATTGACTCAGCCGGTAGAGACGATTCGAGTGTAATATTGTGAAACCGTGCAATCGCAGAGTCAATCTTCTTGAGGGTGAGAAAGGTGAGAAATCCAGCTGCTGTTTCTCCGGTAGCAGTCATGCAGACGATCTTAATATAGGTGAGTGTGACATTGAAGTGACATAGCATATCCACGAGTTCCTTATTGTCCTCGATCGGGTTCAGGACGTTCGGAATGAATGAATGAGCCAATGTATTACGATGATTCTGAATATTGTAGAGAATATCAAGCAGTTGATCGTAAAGCTCAGCGAGATTTAAAATTTTAATAAAAATTTTTTAAAATTTAAAAATAAATTTAAAAATAAATTTTTTTCAGATTTAAAATACTCGGCATGCTCAGACAATTCTCTAATGAACGACTTCGATTTTTTTTTGTTGGCCGCATGAAGGCCTTTGTCTGCTTGAATAATCAGATAAATAGAATATTTCTTCACGGGCGGATAGTCCACATCCGCTGGCATTGTTAAAGTGGCGTCATCGACGATGCAATCCCAGAATGAGAAATAGATGGCACGACGTAGGAATGCGTCGTTCACAACCTAATCGCGAGTTGCTAACTGCTCCACACTGAACGTGTGTTCAAAATTGGCTGCAATTGTTAGCGGCTTGCGATTCGTAGCGAAAGACGTTCAGCTGGAGGTAGACTTCTGTCCTGAGAAGCATCTTCGTCGGCGTACAAAACAAACTCGGGATCATAGCTGCCCTTGGCGAGCGCATAAATCAGTTCAAGAGGAGTCCTGTCACATCTAGGGTCTGTGTAGTTGAGCAGAAGTTTCAGAATTTGTAAGGCGAGGGTGCATACGTGCATGCCAAAACGGACTTAGAGATGACGAAGTGCAATAGTATAATGACAGAGTATTCTATAATGCAGCGAGTGCGGTCACTAGACCGTCCGTAGTAGACTGACTCTACAAAATAAACGAAATAAGAACAAGCAAATCAACGTCTTTCGCTGAAGCGACGTCGAGATTTCTTACAGATTGGGCACGGCTGGCTGATCTCTTCATATCCTCTTCCTCGTCAGTGGGCATACGGCGGCGACCTTTTTTTCAAGTATGCAGCAACGACAAATGAAAAGAAATGATATGAAGTAGGATAGATGAGGTAACTTCGGGTTTGCAAAACGAGTACCAAGGCAAACAAGTAGCTGGCAGGCAATTTATCAGAATGACATGACAGGGATTCCAACAGGAGCAAATAGAGCAAGCAAATCTTGGGGAATAACCCACACAAGCAAGAAGTGAATCATGGACGCCACAGCCCAGTGCGTGCAGATACGCAACCTTAGATGAACACGAAAACTTACATAGATTACATTGCTCTAATTGGCACTGGACTTGCTTCCGCACCTCAGTGGGCCGACCAGGAGCTCACCTGCTCTATCACTGCTTCCCACATCATTGGTCAATCGCTCTCACCTGTCGACACCCATGTTACCTGAACTGCGATACCTGCAGGCGCATTAAAAGCCTACACCACGACTCACGACGTCGACGATTTACCAGCCAGTGCAACTTACGCTGTGCGGATAATACCGGGAGGAGCCCTGCCACTGGTCCCGGCAGTGATATTGGTTCTAGGGAGTGAGCGACATGCGCAGCCCCAACAACGACGTACACGACACTGCCTGCCCGTGCGAGGTACTGACCAAATGCGCATGCAAACTCAGCAGATTCACGGAAAACTAGCGACCATGATAATGTTTCACGATGTGGAGCTGGCGATGATGAAAACCAAAGGTACGAGCACACGAACGGGTCCGAACACGGTACGAAAAGTCGTGCTTCGACGACACTGACTGCGGCCGATTCACCAATTCTGTCGTGACGAGGTGCCTTCTGCTGGGGGCTATTTATAAACTGAGGGGCGTCTGCAAAATTCGCTGTGGGACCGCAATACCGTAACCCGCGCCGCGCTCATGTGCTTAGTTGCAGCTGGCCTAAATTTTTTTAGGTCAGCTGTTACGTGCGACCCTCGTACGACCCTTGTCCTTCGTGATCGGTTTTCCTATGGGTAAGTAATTGAACTACCTAAGTATGAGTTGTATAAGCAGCCTCGTAGTTGTGGGTAACACTGATGTGGTATACTATTTGTAGGTGTAAACACGTGACTTGGTCAAAGGCTTCATCGTCAATGTACGATCTGCTTTTCCTGGAATCATATGCTTTATCTAAAAGAGTTTATAAGGAANTGTCCTTCGTGATCGGTTTTCCTATGGGTAAGTAATTGAACTACCTAAGTATGAGTTGTATAAGCAGCCTCGTAGTTGTGGGTAACACTGATGTGGTATACTATTTGTAGGTGTAAACACGTGACTTGGTCAAAGGCTTCATCGTCAATGTACGATCTGCTTTTCCTGGAATCATATGCTTTATCTAAAAGAGTTTATAAGGAACAGAATCGCTGAGTTGTTATTGATAAGTTTAGCAATAGTAGTAAAAAATGAAATAGCGTAGTAAATAGGATAGGTATAAGAAAAACGAAAAAAAATACAAAGCTAGTGAACACCATCTTGAGCAAGAAGAACCACACATTTGACTTTTACTCAGTTTCGAGATCATATATTTGTAGGAAACAACAAATGGACGCAGGTCGTTTGACTTGGAAGGTCGTAAAGAACTTGAGATGGTTCTTATCGAGGACTCGGTCAAAGTACGAGACGTGCTTTCAGTTCCCGTAACACTTGCAAAAGCACAACGCTGAATAAGTTACTGTTTACGAATAACAAGGCGATGAAAGGGAGCCTTTTCAAGCTGGAAGTGAAAGGGAATCAAGGACAAACGCATAGCCTCTAACGAACAGGAATGTGAGATGTGTCGACTATGTGCGAAAACGATAATGCCTCTTAGTCATTATATCTGCTACATTTTTGTTGTGAAATGCTTAAATACCCATGTGTGGTAGGTACCTCCAATAACAACTCACTAAACAATCCTAAAAGGCACTATCTATGTTAAGTAAAAGTCGTCATTTTTGTTAAAAACTTGACATCCGTAATTCAAATGCCGAGCTCATACTCATATAGTACACCTATTGAATAACAGTGCTACTTTATTCATGTGAATGGACGCCTTCATGTTGAATGCACTGAACAGCCACGACATAAGGCGAGGGAAATATTTAATGCCAAGCTACTTTGGTAGATAGTCGGCTGCGGGCTAGAAAAGGCCTAGTCCCCTGACGCCGAGCCAAACTCCCAACTACAAAGTGTCCAAAGTACTCTCGGGGTTAATCCCGTGTGGCCACACAAAAATGGTAAGACGCTACCTTCATGTCATATGGGTACAACATGACGAAACTTTAATTGATGAGCAATTGCTAAATGAGATATTGGAGGTCGTGCGAGAGGCATGACAACATGTGTGTGATGCAGAAGCACAGGAGGTGCGGACAAGTTTGGTGGGTCCACGATAATTTTGGGGCATCCGATATTTGACGGGAAATGATAGGTACGGCCCAGTAGTACAATAGTAAAGTAGAAATCGCGAAAAACGACGAATAAAAGAAATACAGAGGGTCGAAAAAGAAGTAAAAAGGGGGTTGGACGAGTTACACAGCCGAAAACCGCGGTCAAGGGGAGTGTTCGGCCGAGTCAGACGAACGCGAAGCAGTGCCTGCAATTGCACACAACACACGCAAACACCTGATTTTGCCATAATTGTTTAAAATGTTTATTATCCTGTTATATTTTGCTAAAATATTCACTATAATCAGTTGGCCGGGATGCGAAGGTAGGTGAACTTGTTTATATTCGTGTTTTAACGATTAAATGTGCTTATTTCTGCTTATATTCTGTTGTTTTATGACTTTCATTTCTTTTCGACTTTCTTTAGGATTTTCCATTTTTTTATTTGCAATGCATGTTCTTCATTTGGGAACAGTGATGTGTTCTTGTACAATGTCTCTGACTTTCTTTTGAAGAGTTAGGTTTTTTGGAACATGCTATTAGCATGCCATCCCACCCTTTGCCCCCTTGCCCCTTGCAGAAGGCAGTGTGGCGAGTTTCATTCAGAGGATCTTATACATTAATCTATTTCTTTAGATCATCTTCTATGATGATTTCGTGGATGTTTTAATGTTCAATGTTTTTACCGTGTTCCTTGCATGCTTTGCGCAATTATGTGGCTTTGCAGTTTAATTTAGCACGTGTACCTCGAGGAAAACTGGGGTTGTGAGTATCATTTATATATTATCCTGATTTATTCATTCTTTCTCACTTATTCTTTATAAAGAATGCGTTGGTACATTGGTACGGTATAGATTAACAGTTTTCATGTTTATTGAGAATTTCACTTACTGCCTGCATAGCACAGTCATCTATAAGGAAGGTTTTCAGGACATGGTGAGAGTCGTGCATATCCCACCCTCGAACCTCAAACAACAATTGATCCGAAATCGCCTGTATGACCGCCTGTGCACAACGCCTTCGTGTATCATGTGCCCATACGGTAAGGAGGGAGACTGCATGACACCCGATGTTGTTAAAGGCACCGTTCGCGATGATTCAATGGGCGGGTGTGTCGATGACGTGCCCGCCTCTCATTCGACGCCACGTCCCACGGTCTGACGTGACATCGAATGAGAGGCGGGCACGTCATCTACACACCCGCCCATTGAATCATCGCGAACGGTGCCTTTAACTTAATATCGTGTTTTCAGTGTAAAGAGGAGTATATTGGGGAACAGGCAGGTTTCTCTCTTTGTATCAGAATAGAGGAGCACCTGGATGGCATGTAAAGATCGAGAACTGCGACTCTTCTAGAAGAACATAGGGTACGATGTCATGGGAACATGAGGTTCAAGGTGGCGGTCACGATATTATCACGTGAATCCGATATTGCGACGCGGCGAACCTTAGAGGCCTTTTGGGTCATGGCTATGGCCCCTAAAATTAGCCGGAGGGAAGAGTGCGTGGCGACCGACATTTTGTAGTTGGGAGTTTGGTTCGGCGTCAGGAGACTAAGCCTTTCCAGCCCGTAGCAGGCTTCCAGCATTCCTCGGCGCGGCGTGTCCACTTAGGGGTGTGTGGGCACCCAAATACCCACGTTCCGCCGTGACTGGGGTGTGAAAACGCCGATGCAACAGCAAAAGGGTGCTATTTATTATATAAACTGAGGGGCCTCTGCGAAATTCGCCGTGGGACGGCAATACCGTAACCGGCGCCGCGCTCATGTGCTTAGTTGCGGCTGGCCTAAATTTTGTTAGGTCAGCTGTTACGTGCGACCCTTGCCCTTCGTGATCGGTCTTCCTATGTTCATCACTCATTACTGAGCATTCTGTTTGGATCTGATATGATAATGAGCATTCTCTTTGGATCTGATATGATAATGACCTCACATGATAACCCAGACAATTCGGAGAGCTCCTAGCTGCTATTTTATTAAGGAGGCTTACCCTATGTAAACCGCAGCCACACCAGCTTAGGGTGAACGGTGGACCCCCAAGGTCGACTGTCCCGAAGGTCATTTTGAAAACTTCCAACTTCCTAGTCCACGTCTTCTGAACTTACTTTGAAGATTGAAATAGTACTTGATCGGATGGTTTTTCAAATGCCTTCTGTCTTTCCAGGCACCGAGGAAGGTGAAGGCACCAAAACCTCAGCCTAATAAAGTTTGTTAATATCTCGGTTCTACAGCGTATAAAGTTAATTCAAAACTAAAGGGAGAATTCCGAGATTCATCGACAGTCGCACATGGTCGCTACTTCGAGGATGACAAAAATTAAATGGTAAGTGTAGTGATAGAGAAGGATTTAACGTAACATTATTACGAACGAACAGATGACAATTCGGTTACCTTCTTCTTGCTT